GCTATGCGTTCATTGCTATCACCTGTACGAAGTTTCACTAAGAACATAGCTAGACTTCTTTTAGGTGATTTAACTCTTTCACTGATAGATGGAATTTCAACTAGTAACTGTTCAAATTGGTATTTGGTAAATCCTAACCAATATTTGCATAATATTGAATTATGTTCAATGATATTTAAAATATTATAATTTTGAGTAACACTACTTTTAAGTAAGGAACAAAGGTTGTCTATCTGAGATGCAGTAAAATCTGAACAGTTACTACTCGTGAATAAATTATTCCAATCATTGTGGGGTTCATTTAAATGGTATTCACAAATACGAGCGCACAGTGGCACATAAAATGAGTGATCTATCAGCAATCTCTCTTTAAGTAGTTTAGGTATTAAAAATCTAGATGAATGATTACATGACTTAAAAATACAGTGACGGGAAGTAGAAGCAGCACGCTTATAATTAGCCATAGTAATTGTTGATGCCGCTCTGGAAATGGCAGGGGTTACAGGTGCAGGTATAGGGGGTGGTTGTGGGATGTTACCGATGTCTTCTATATTCATGGATTGTAGCTCAATATCCCTGTTCTCATTTTGTTGTCTCTGTCTCCATACAGCTCTGGAAGCCCTCAGCCAGCAAGGACTGCATACTCGTTCTAAACGATCCACCTGAAAAAAGTTATTTTTTATCAACTAACAAAATGAACTATAGTTTTACAGTGTCTACTCTAAATATTAATAATATTTATTATTGTTCTATTTATTTCAATCTTTCTAACACTAAATAGTTTTAATGTCTTTTAAAATTATAAATATTAGCATGCAATTGTTTCCCCTCATAATATTTTTGTGGCACTACTTATTTAAATAGAAATAAATAATACATCACATATCAGACAAGAAGTAATTATTTTAGAATTATTAACAATATTTCACTAAGCCCAAGTTCTTTAAAGTTTCAGATAACATTGAATGATTAAATTGAAAAACTGTCATTCTTTACGAGTTGGGGTACTTTCAACTAATTATAAATAATTTTGTAAATCTTAACAAAACAGAAAAGATTTGATCTTGATTCTCTAGGGTGAAATATCGATTCACTAGATCGATTTAGTACTATATATCGATATGACATTGACAGATAAAACGTCAAAAACGTGAGAATATTTAATTAATTAGTTGTTTACCAATATTTTCAAAAAATAAATAAAAATACTTCGATGCTGCTCCGGTAGCAAAACTCGCGTGTAGGTGCTTCAGATAAACTCCCTTGACGCCCCCCACAGTAACAGAATCTTCAAATTGAGGCGACCGAATTGTAAACCCAACCCGTTTTATTTATACTAATGTCTTTTAAGGTAAAAAATATTACTTGTATAATAAGTACAAAAGCATACAAATATGGGTGTAAGATAAGGAAGAAGTATCGTTCATCTAATAACTAAAAATAAAAAAATTGGTTATTAATGGCAAATATCCCCCCATAAGACAATCTATGTTCAGCAGTAGACTTTTGGTAGACTGTAAATTTAAAGATAACCTGTTAGTGAACTGCCATGTTGAATGAGCATAAATATCAGACCAAATTGTATGCAAGGTGTCTGATTTTACAAACATCAATCTGTGTACCAAAGCGATTGTGGCAAATCCTCTGGGCTGCCTATTTGAGGCAGGGGACCATTTACAGCCTTTTAAAATAAGGTAAGTACCTGGTGTGATGGTATCCACTGCAAAATAATATCTCTTTCTTCAGAGTTAATAGGCACAATCCGTCTACGGTGTGCTCTTAACATTGAAGATCCACATGGAATACAAATATTCCTGTACCCAAATCTTCTAATGGAGTGAGCTGATGCAACACTTTCTTGCAATATTCTTAGGCAGTTACAACAAACTGCATCAAGTGGGTGTAACTGAAAAAATCAGGAATTAAAAATAAAAGAGTAAATAAATATTAAGTTCAGATAAATGTACATTTTGAGGAGGGAAGCGAAGTTGGCATGAAAGTGAATGTTTGATGTGGAACCCTATATTATTTGAAATACAATACATTTTCAATTAAAAAAAAATTGGAAATCCAAAAGACAAATATCGATTAATATATTATGATTTTACAATATTTACAGTATTTCAGGTATATCATATAGTGATAAATAAACTTTATAATATTAGAGTATTATGGAGTTGTGTAATATTAGTAATATATGGGGGAGGCCTATGTTCGGCAGTGGAGTTTAATTGGCTGTAACGGTAATATTACAGTGGATTGAAATATTTTTCATTGCACAAAATAACTTACTTTTCTATTTACATAATATTTTATCCTTAGAATAAATATTGACACATATATACCTATACTTTTTCGACTTTGATTTCTGATTGACTGACAAAAGATAATTAGACACACATAACATGTGATACATCATACCATGCCACAAAAACTTCTTTTTGTGTATATTGTGTGACTTTATTTTATCTATTATTTAAATTAGATTTCACTAATAACATAAAACTTCAATACTTTAACATTTAACACATTAGTAAGACCCGTGTTTATCATTTGTTAAAGGTTAATTCAGTATAAGTTATAGATTTTACAAAATTCTAGGAGGAAAAAATAAACTTTTATATTACTCACATGGACTTTTACTCGTCAGTTTGCATTTTCGAATGTCATTGGCAAATTATATACATAAATGTGATATAGGTATTTAATATTTGACTTACGTGCATGATATAACCCTTAGGTTAAACATTTTTTTGCATCAATTAGACATTAACATACTAATCCACTTGTAAGCAGTAAAACTACGTGAATTTTCATTTTTAAACTTTTACTTTAACACGAACACAGTTTACATCAATTTAAACAAACAAGTTTATGCCATATTATATTTTTACAGTCAATGCCAGTCAATGGAGTCAATGCAAAGAACTATGCCTGTAAGTTGGTAAATAGCAGGAAAGAATGCAGTGTCATCTTGTGTCAAAATATAAAATAATTCAATCAATATAATATATCATTTATCAATTTAATATAACGAAAGATTAAAATTATAGCTATAGAAGGTATGAATTTATTAATAATATGAAGGGATATTTATTATTACTTTTAAAAACTTAAAATAATTAAGTACTTAATCATGTATAGATCGTTATGTGTGCCTGGAGTCTGTGGATCGTTTTCTTTCGTATTATTTCTAAAAAATCGTACCATATCCCATATTATTCAACAAAAATAAAAATATTAAGTAATACATTAATAAAGAAAATATATAATTTTCGTTTCCGCAGTATAGTAATATTGTTGGAATAAAATCGAGAGTAACAAAAATAATATATATTTCTCATAAAAGTTTAAATCTAGATAATATGTAAGTAGATAGATTGTATAGTGCAGTGATTAGCTTTCCATGAGATAATATTATACCTACCTCATGAGAAATCCACACAGATAAAAGTTGGCGCACATCAGCAGTTGTCTCGGCCAGTAATTGTCTTCGCACACTGCGTTGAAACCTGACTCCACAATTGCAACATACACTTCTATTTTCATTGTATGCTGATCTAGCAGATTCCATTTTCTTAAAATCGCATATAAATACAAAAAAACAGTAGCGTAACGAACGTCAATGCCGTTAAGATTAAAGACGTAGGTAATACCCCGCCGCCCCGCCCCGCCGTACCCGGCCGCCGGCCGCTGGGAATTACCGGAAGTCAATGATAAAATAACGTTTTGGTTCACAGTCATTTAGAACTATGTTATAACGTGATATTAGCTAAAATTTTTAGAAATTAAACATAAAGTTCTTAGTGGTATCTTTTTTTAAGTCAGCTTTGTGAAAAAAATAGTTTTCTTTTTTATACAAGCTGCAAAATGACTAATTAGGTACACGCATTTTACCCATATTACACTAATCAGAACACGAATATCAAAACAACTAATTTTTTTTCGTATTTCTTGATTCCGTTTACATTTTCGAAAAATCTGTAGGCCATTTACTATTATAATTTGGTGTCTTTTTTTTGATGTAATACCATTAGTGGACGTTAATATTTTTAGTGGGCCCAAAAATGATTGTCCCCTTTAATAAATTAAAAGTTACAAAAGAAAAGGAAATAAAGTATTTAATCTTTGAATATATTGAACGAGTGTTGTAACGCTGAGCTATGCAACCGATGTAATTTCAAGCGAAAAAGATGTTATAGTACTTTGTATAGAGCATACAGTTCAACCGATGGTAAGTGGATGCTGTGGCTCATAGACATCTACATCTATCGTCAATTAAGAATAAAAATGCTGATGCGTTGTCACCCAGATTCCAGAAATAAGATGGAATACCTCGTTTCCAGTAAAACGGGTCTCCCGTTCTTTACACTCGCCATACGAAACACAGCAAAATAAGCTATTAGCTCACGCTGGTATTCTATCAGCGTATGGTCCTTCCCCCATGCGTGCTGTGTGTGTATGGTGCTGCAACCATATTACTGCGGCATGGCTCTACCATGTATTATACAACACGCAATTACATATCTGTGTGCATGTTATTTGCATATTGTAGTTTCATATTGAGACGGTAGCCTAACGGCAGGACGCGGACCGCGAACTCAAAAAAAAAAGGTCGTGGGTTCGAATCCGCCATTCGACTACTGGCGTGAACCACTCGTAACACAAGCAATTTAAGCTTACCACGAGTGGTAAGGGGGAATATTAGTAATGTTTATAGCATTATTAATATTCTTTTTTTTTAATATTGCATACTAAGCCATTAAGTATTTCATCAATAAGCCATCGAGTATTTAATCAATTATCTATATAATTATAGTAACAAAAGAAATTGAAGTCCCACACTTTATCATTATTTACTTACTAATGCCCAAATACTCAAATGCTGCTCAAAATTAAAATGTCACTGGTGTCACTTCGACTTATAATGATAGAGACAGAATAAGAGTTTGAATATTATATATGTGGCCTAAAGTTCCTTTGATGTTTTCCATTTGCAGAGACCAATAGTGGAACAGCAGAACAAAGTGTCGAGCATGGACAAGATTGGTTCGGATATTTCATCGTCGGAGGACGAATTGCTAACAGGCGAAGAGCCTCGACGTTCACCAGCTGCGCCCCCTGATAAGGACCAAGATAACCTGGACGACGATCAGGTATGTATAAGGCTTGTACGACAAGTTAATAACCTTCCGCTCACCCGATGTTGGTAGTTGGGACTGAGGTGACCTCTTTACCACACAATACCATTTAATTGAGAAATTAGTTTTAAGTAATCAGTTTCTACAGTATAATAATATATATATATATATATATATATATATTATATATAAATACGCACAAAACAATGCCTCGTTTTTTTCTACTTTTAAGAATATATAGATTCGTTTCTAATTTAATTAAAATATAATATTGCTAATATTTCTCAAAGGGACATTAATCTTTACATTTTGCTAACAAAAATAACTTCGCCGCTACGAAATCTGTCAAATATTTCACATAGAAATCATCGAAAGTCGTGTATACCCTCATTAAGTTGCCGCACTGTTCGATGTTGGGCATTTATTTTTGAGATAGTAATGAAGTGGTCATAAGCAACTTGCATCCAATGACTCCCGCTTACGAGGTCGCATCGCTTCACGAGGGTATCATTTTATCTGATGGGAGTCGCAATTCACCGCAACACTGCCTGGAACCGTTTTTTGGGCGAAGGCTAGTGTGGCTTCAGTGGACGTAATATTAGTAGAACACTTTTGGAAGATGTTATTGGATTTGTATAAAATGTCATTGCGACGCGTGAGTTTCGTAAGAGGCCGCTAAGCTGTTAAACAAAAAATAATACGAGATGTCCGCTAGTATACGGGTCTTTACGTCATCTGGTATATACAAAATTGCTCAAAGTTAACTTTTACAACACCAATTAAGGAACATGGAAAACCTAATATCACAATTCACTAATAATTGTTGGAAGTTGTTTGATAGCTACGTTATAGAATCCATCGCCAGCTCCTATGGCGTGAAATAATATATTTCGATCGATGGGATGTAACCAACTCGTATTTATCTATGATTTGATATACCCAAACTGTCGAAGTTTAACGCTGTCGAAGGTTTGAGACGTTCTATAACTGCAATCCCAATCCTTGGCGTGACAGCCTATTATGGAAACAGCCCATCTCCTGCTGTAAACTGTTTAAAGTTATCTTTTAATGACTTTGAGTCCATGCAAACATGTTCCTCTATTTTCTTTTTATATAATGAAATTAGAACAAATATTAGTTACTATACCATCTATATATGCCACTTCCATGTACCATGGTTTTTTTTCATAAATATAATATTTTAAGAACTAGGAACCTTCTAAAATTACTAAAACTCCAGTTATACCGCGATTATTAGACATCCAGCAAACAAAATTTAACGAACATAAAGAAAATTATAATTGCTCACTTTCCGCAAAGTAGACGGGGAAGTACAGGATGATTGACTGAATTAATTTTTCATAGGTATAGTCAGTTTAAGCTTCAGTTGTTTTTTTTGATTGCCTAGCTCATTCGCTTCGTTCGTTTGAACGCAGCGTGACAGCAGAAAGTCGTTAAAAATCTATTCATAAAATTTAAGATTTTTTATTTAACTGGCTATCTATGGCTTCGCACGGGTGATTTCTGGATCTCGACAACAGCGCCAACTACCGGGTTCAATTCTGTACCCAAATATTTCTCGAATCAACTTAATCACACACAAAATTACATTTAAATTGATTCAGCCGTTTAGGCGTTCAGTAATAAACACACGTACATAAGAAATATAATATTATTATATAAAGATAATACTCGGAACAGATGTCGCTGTCGTCGCTGTCGTCGACGGAGGCTAAGATCGAGGAGCAAGTGCCGGCGGAGGCGTACTTCTACCCGCCCGTGACCGCGCACCCTCCGCCGCACCCCGCCTACTACCAGCCCATGTGGCCGCACACAGGTACCTGTCATCTACTTCACTCTTACTATACTTTGCTCATATTATCCATAATCATCTCTTCTTTTTAACAACAGGTGGTTTACAACCTATAATAATAATTGTGCCTGCCTGAAGCCTGTGTTGGTGAACAAATCCGAAACAACACGACTGTTACTGTGGCAACTATGGACTGTTATTTGCCGTCATAATTGTAATTTTTAAAATTGAAAAGATATAAATAGTACTAATGCCATTAAGAGTTATACTTACATATAAAAGGTAACGCTATCTTTTTGTAAATTTGACGTGGCAGATATTTTTTCAGCTAAACACTGAACGATTCTGTATTTTTGTAGGACGTTGACTCAGTCGCGCAACTAAATTTAGTCTAGTGAGCATTGCGGTTGCAGCTAGTTTTATTGTACGCATAGGACAGGACCGTTGGAATTATATTTTGGTCTCACGTCCGGTACGCCGGCGTGTTGCTTTATGTCGTTATCCTTTAATCCATCAATATAATTATATCGATAATTTATTATAGGCCTTACCAACCAAAATATATTACACATGTTTATGAAACTTCTCTACTGGCATTTCTTGTATTCGTGAATTTTTTTATAGGACAGGGGGCAAATGAGCGTGCGGCTCACCTGATGTAAGTGATTACTGCCGCCCATGGACAACTGCAACAACGGGAGTATTGCAATGCGTTGACGGCCTTTTAAAAAGGAGTAGGCTCTTTTCTTGAAGGTCCCTAAGTTGCATCGGTCCGGAAAAATCTCTGGTGGTAGTCGATTCCACAAGGAAGATATGCGACGAAGAAAACTTTTTAAATCGCATAGTAGTGGACCGCCAGTCATCCAGATGGTATGGATGGTATCGCGAGTTTTGTCGCGATGTGCGATGGTTAAATTGTGCGGCTGGAATTAGTCTGACCAATTCTTCAGAGGACTCCTCGTGGTAAATGCGATAAAATACGTAAAGAGATGAAACATGTCTTCGCAGTGCCAGTAAGTCATGCCGATCGGAAAGAGCTCGCTGGATGCGATCAAAAGGAAGGAGTTGGCACTGGGGAGCCTCTCGATATGTCGACGCCGAGAATTCCGATACTGGCTAAGGCAACAAGTGGAGTGCCTTGATACTGAAGAAGATACAACGAAAGGGTTATTTTTAGCGGTAAACGCGCAAACTTGTGTTATTTGGAGATTGAACTGGACTAGATTTAGTTGCCACCAGTCCGTGTCTTTTTTCAACTAAGTCTCGACTTCATACACAAGTTTGTTCCGGTATTCGGTGACGTTTTCCTAAGAAATATTGGCATGGCCGGTGTAAAAAGCAAATCCGATACTAAGAACCCACACTCAGGAAGAGTAGGGTAGCTTGGGCGTAGATGTCAGCGAGGAATTATCCGTCACCTGGGGTGCTGGTACTTTCCTGGGGTAGTATTCTATTTAACTCCGCTATCATGTCAAGGGCAGGGGGCCTCTGGCCACCTGCGCTCACCAATCGAAATGCGGAAGCAGAGCTCTGTTAAAGTTTTATTGGTTGAATCGTCCTCTCGTAAAACGGAGCTTGAGGTTATGAATTATTTTATTATTGTAATGATCAAGCAATTGATCAAGCGCTATCTTTTCAAATATTTAATAGATCAATTAAATAATTAAAGTAGTACTTCGGGCATCGGATTTTGGTAGATTAATTTTGTTCTTAAAATACTAATATCCTTATGTTACTTTCAGCATATCCTCCGCCGACGTACACGACTCCTGAGATGGCGATGGCGTACAGTGCCGGGTATCCTGCACCGTCCATGTTAACACATCACTTCCAGCCCTATCCTCAGCCGGCGCCACATCAACAGGTACTGAACTCTTAACTCAACTTACCCTGCACTCCGGTCCATGCACTTGTTGCCGCATCTAGTCAGCAATGCATCTACATACTTTTCGCCTTATCGTGGTTGAGCTACGCTGCAACTATATTAGTTGTAGCACGAATGGATTAGCCCGACCGAGTTAAGACCACGCTCTCACCGAATACCAGCGTAAAATAGCAACTTAAGGCTGCTGTGTTTCGTATGGTGAGTGTACAGAACCGGAGACCCTTTATACTGGAAATGAGGCATTCCATCTTAGTCCTCAGGGGTGACAAGGCATCTGCATTTTGATTCTTAATCAAGGCTAAATGTAGATGTCTATGGCCTCCAGCATCCACTTACCGTCAGGTGGACTGTGTGCTCGTTTGTCATCCTTATTCTATAAAATATCTTTGAATGTGTAACTGTACATTATGCACAAATTATTTCCCACTATATCTTCGCACACCCAATATAACTGTATAATAGTTAAAATTTAAATGTTCGCCAGCATGAGTGCAATTAAGACTGTAAAAGTCTGGCTAATAGTTCAAATATTGCCGATTTTTAGATTTATAAAAAATAAAGTTAAAAATATAAAAAATAATAATGTAGGTTACATCTTTTATACAAACAATTATTTTTTATAGGAATTGGATAACCCACACTACCCGACAATAAATAGTGTGATAGAGCGAGTTACAGCAGAATTGAAGCAAATCCTGAAAAAAGATTTTAACAAGAAGATGATTGAGAGCACGGCCTTCAAGAGCTTCGAGTTGTGGTGGGATGAGCAGAGTCGTAAGACTAGGCAACCTAAGACCACCAAACCCGAAGACACGGGCCAACCATTACAGGTATCAATCCTTTCACGTAATATTATAACCAATACGATTATTATACTCAAAAGAGGCAAACTAAAGGATATAAAATAGTAATCTTAATTTTTCTTCTTTTGTTATTGTATTGGAGGTGGTTTCCTAGGTAATAGTGATTCTTATCTACTCAGGAGTCTGTCTATGAAAAATCCGTAGGTCGCTCGTTCACAGCCGGCTTGAAGGACCAAAACATGTTCGGTACTGGATGAATTTTCAATAATAATGTAAAAAGTTCATGTTGGAAGAGTTTATTAAATGGGTTAATATATGTGATAAACAGATAAACGATTCTGTATCTATTTGTTGCTTTTAATATCATTATGTTATGTTAATGGATTCGCGTCTGTCGCGGTGAACCCCTCAATCCCCCGCTAAAACGATTGACAACGCTAGCGCGCTTCGCGTGACGCGGCGTCGCTAATTTACCTAAAAAATGTCATTACATGGAATTTGTCCTGCTTTTATTTTCAATAAAAATGATTATAAGTTTCAATATAATACTGTTTCTGTTTATTTATTAAATGTTATATTACTAGTTTTAGTGGTTTTACTTCATTACAAAAAGACTTTATTGTATTTTAATAACAAAAAATGGGTAATACAGCATACGGCATGGGTAAGGCAGCGTGAAAATCACTATTATTTCTATATATTACTTGAAATTGTTTACGTAAAAAGATAAATTATATTCACACAAAAACTTTTATATTAATTTTGTAATAAAACACTAGAAAAATCCAAAAATCAACACAACAACATCCAAACGAAAGTGGCTTACGTAATGAACGTAGATTATAAATGAATATCCATAGAGTGATTGACTTTTTATGGCACTAGAGGATAGAAAATTTCATATTGATTATATAATGCCAAACTCCTTCATAGAAAAGTAGTCTCTAAACATAAGTATTTATGGGTTAAAGTGCTGTGGGTGGGTGCGGTCAAATTTGAGACCTCTTGGAATTTGACGGAATATCGCCGCGGTCATTTTTGAACGCTTACCCATTGAGAGGAGGTGAACTAGCTTACAATTCTTATTATCGAACCATAGCAATTGCTATGCGTAAAATGTTGACATCATCACAAAGAAAAGCCAGATTCAGTGTGATTATAGGCTGCAACATTTTTTTTATGCATTTCCCGAGAACCGAGAAATCTTGTAATTACAAGTATATTAATAGATAAATTAATAGCATTACATAATTAATTATTATTAGTAATACAGCCTTAGTTCTTAGTATGTTATGTTGTCCAAAAACATTATATATTACATTATATATTATATACATATTTCTAAACAAGAGTTATATTTTCTATATGCAGGATAATTCGAATAAAAAAGAAGAGACGGTGGATTCTATAAAATCAATAATGGAGTCACGAGACATAGGGCTTGAGTTAGGAGGCTATGGTGTCGGTATTGGTCTGGGGCTACGCGCCGCCATTCCTAAGATGCCGAGTTTCAGACGCAAAAGAAAAATACCCTCGCCCGTTGTTATGGACGAAGACTCCTCTAAACGGCTCAGTGATCAGGTAAGAGATTGTATTTTGAAAGAATATAGGTTTAGTTTTATTTCATAGGTATTTAATAAGTTATTTCGGTCATTTTGATCATAACATCACAGTAAGATAATATATTTTGTGCTTGTAAGTCGTGAAATTCAAAATGTTTTTGTTCCAAATTACTCTTCTAAACATTATTTCAAAATTAAAAATAAAAGTACATTTTCATTTTTAGTTATTGTTACTTTTAAAGACAGTAAAACATATCTCTATTATTACTAAATAATGTTACAGGAAGAAATGGTGCAAAACTCTGATGAAGAGAAGGAAATCCCGACGAGTCCTCGGAACAGGACGACTGGTTCATACCTCTCGACGAGTAGAAGACGAGAGTCGAGTAGCTCGTCAAGGTATGTATAATTATGTGTTTTGAAAATAAATTAAAATTTCAATATATTGCGTACAAATCTAACTTATTAATTGTACAAAGCATTGTCACAATTTCATTTACATGTGTAATTTTTTTTCATATGGTACATTGTTGTTTGAATTTTTAGTTGAAATGACGCTTATCCTCTCGTCTGTCCACAACCTTTAGAACGTTGCAATTTACTTACAAACTTCAGACACGAAACAGCGTAGTAAATGTATCTGCATCTCCCTGTAACTCGTATAACTTTGTTTTAATATCATTAACCTACTTATCTCGGTATGGAATGGTCGCTATTGAAGTACAAAATGTGCCTTTTTTGTGCCTGTTTCGGGTCGTCTTAAGTGGCCCACATTATTGTCGAGCATGTGGTATAAAAAAAAGTACGCAGAGTTGTGTTTTTTTTTTATTAATTATTGTAAAGTGTATTTATCTTATTGTAAATAAAATTGTTTTTTTATACATTTTTATTCACCAAATTGGAAAAAAATCGCTTTTAGCATTTTTACCATGAAATTTAGAAAATATAAAAAAGGTGAATGTACACATTTACATATTTTCTATTAGCTTACTTAATAATAATTCTAACTACATATATTATTTTATAGAGTTTCCATTCATAATTATTAAGGTATTGCCATTTTAATGACACGCGCCACGTAGGCATTAAATCACTCGTTTAGGGTTGGACAGTTTGCGCCAAAGCGACCGTTTGGGCCGGGACAGTTGAGGGGATATGTAGTTTTTTTTTGCTTTTAATGAATCTAAACAATATTATGGTGTTTGGTTTGTTGGTGCAAGAAATAAATAAATGTGTGTGCGCAGGTCGTCGTCGTCGTCGTCGTCGCGGTCGTCGTGGTCGGGCTCGGGGTCGGAGCGCAAGGGCGCCGCGCCGCGCCTCTACTCCGACTCCGACACAGACACCGACCTCGACGAGGCCGAGGTGTGCATGCTAAACATTACAACTAATCTTTTTATATAGTTTTGTGGACCGGGATTATGAAAAATATGCTTCGGTTTGTATACGAAGAAAGAATGAATAAACGTAAGAATTTATAAGGATCATAGGATATAAGAGTATCAAAACATATTTATACTGCACCAATACGTGACAAAGTCTGAAGGGACGCTCTAGATGGAAGCTTATCGATCTAATTGGCAATGTATCAAAGATAGGTAGTAATATGCTTAATTAAAGAGCACCCTTAACCCAGCGTGTAAGAATCGTGCCAAATGAAAGTCCATAGTCCTTTTTTGTTCCACGTTCCTTTTTATACGTGGTAGAGCCACGCTGCAGCTATATTATGATTGTAGCATGAATGGGTCGGCTCGACCAGGGAAGGACCACGCTCTCACAGAATACCATCGTGAAATGGCAGCTTAATGTTGCTGTGTTTCGTATGGTGAGTGTAGAGAACCGGAGACCCGTTTTACTGGAATCAAGGCATCTTAGTCCTGGGTGACAACGCTTCTGCATTTTGATTCTTAATCGAGGTTAAATGTAGATGTCTATGGGCCGCAGCAACCACTTACCATCAGGTAGACTGTGTGCTTGTTTGTCACCCTATCCTATTAAAAAAAAAAACCTTTGAACATAGGTTTGCAGCAATGTGCGAGTAGACAAATATTTTTTGGAATCATTTTCTCAACTACCCCTCGTACATGTATCGCTGCTTTCAATCACCAGGCTGTGAAATTGGTTTCAGCGGGTTAAGATGGATTTTCTGCCGTCAGTCGGTCGCCAGAACCATGTCCGTCAATCAACCGGTTTCACTGCGTTCAAATAAAGTTGGCATTTTAACACAAGTTGGCACAGCAGCACACATTACATAGCTTCTCATCGTCGGTCTGTGTTTTTTACACCAGACGTAGATAGTTATAGCGCCATCTATCGACGCTCTTTGCCATAAGATATTTTTAGCGGGAATAGTCGCCACTTAGACGAAATGGGTGATGAATTATTTTTACCCTGCGACCACACTACTGATATGTCGCTATAATTTTAGTGAATTATTTAAAAAAAAAAACAGATTTTTATAGAAAAAAAGAAGATAGTAGTAATAGTTCAGTAAAAAACCCCTTATCTGCAATTGTTCTACTACATAAAGACTAAACTTTGGTCTATCCATAAAAAATAATATATTCACGTCTATAAATGTGTTTTTTCGCAGTTTAAGGTGGTATCTAACAAGGAGAGACTTAGGAGAGTGTATTCCTCATCAGATAGCGAAGAGGAACAGAGTAGAAGAGGTTTGCTTACATTTTTTTTTGTAATTTTCAACTGTAATATAAGTTTTATTAGGGTAGATGTGGCTTGTATATTTCATTAGAATTATAATTGTATTGTATATAATGACGGCCATGTGGCCTAGTAGTCAGAATCCTGTGTTTGAACAAATCAATATCCGTGTATAAGCAACAATCTAGCCAGAGTCAGCATTTATTTAACCCCTCAGTCCGCACCATGCGCCCGGCAAATCCCGAGCGGTCACATGCGCAGCACTTAAAACCATTAAAAGTTATATTTAGAGACTACTTTTCTATGAAGAAGTTTAGCATTATAAAATCTATACAAAATTCTCTATATAAAAGTCAGGTTTTAATTAATTACAAAAAGACTATTGAATTTTGATAAAAAAAAACAACATACCAAGCGAATGTCGGCAGCGTGAAAATCACAATTATTTCAATGCATATTACTCGAAATTACGTAAAAAGATAAATTATATTCACATAAAAACTTACATTACAGTTTTGGAATAAAACACTATACTAAAACACTAGAAAAATCCAAAAATCAACACAATAAAATTCACGCCAAAATGGCGAACGAAATGAACGTAGATTATAAATAAATATCCATAGCATAACTATTTTTATTGCTTCCAAACTTCTTCATAGAAAAGTAGTCGCTAAATATAAGTTTTAATGGTTTAAAGTGCTATGGGTGTGCTTGTTGAATTCGACCGTTTGAATTTTGACGGAAGAGCGCCGCGGTCGAATTTAACCGCTTAGGGGTTGAAGGGTTAAATACAAGTTGTTTTAGAGATTGGTTGTGTTGTGATTTTGCCGAAGAAGAGTCACTGCATTCTAAGTTACCTCTTTGCGTTTTCATTAGCTTTTCTTCGGATATGCTCTATTTAATGAGAAACAACGTTAATGGAAAACGTACTGGAAGTAATTGTACGAAGTGTGAGATAGTGTCAAGTTATAGTGTGGGCTAAAGGAGAGCTTAGTCTACTTCTACTTATCTTTGACTAACTATCTTGACATTATTAATATAAAGTTAAATAAACTGGAGTGAACCCAACATCTTTCCCTTTGATTCATACTGGGGTTTATGAAACTTGATCACATCTCAGAATTTAGTAAACATCACAAGCAGCTACAGATTCACTTTTGTAATAATACACACATCTTTTATATAGAGAGAAATTTCTATTGTATGTTAAAAAGTATTAAACAAACAAAAAATTAAACCTTCGTTAATCCCTCAATCTTGTCACTTCACAGAAAAAACTCCAATACCTCCAGTGGAAATGGACGAGGCGGGTGAAGAGTGTACACCCCTCGAGGCAGAAAGGTTGGGCTCACCTATACAATCACCTGAGGAAGAACCGCGAGATCTTCTGCTTGATCGTGTATATTCTGATTCTGAAGAAGAACGAGAATATCAGGTAACCATTGAAATTTGAATCGCTATTAAGAAGTCACAAAATTATTACAATCCATCACACATAGCTGTTGGTAAGCGGTAACAGGTACACATACAAAGAACGAAGTACACTTCTTTTTAAATTGACTGCCGGATATGGCAGATTTTAAAATTTGTCCTTAGTATGCTGGGCAAATGAGTTGGTAAACGCGAACTCACACACTAGTAGTGCTGTGCTGGCCGACATTAATCTGTGGGAAAGGTTTGGCTATTTAAAATGGACACACACGTACGCAAGTACGCATGCGTGCACGTAGGTCATGTCGCTCAATAGTGTGTAGCTCTTTTGAGCACTGGATCACTATTATTGGCTTTTTATAGGAAAAGGGTGACAAGCGAGCACACAGTCCACCTGATGGGAAGTGGTTGCTGTGGCCCATAGACAACTACATCTATCCTCGTTTTCGAATCAAAATGCAGATGCGTTGTCAGCCTTGAGGACTAAGATAAAATGCCTCTTTTCCAGTAAAAAGGGTATCCGGTTCTCTACACTCACCAAACAAAACACAGCAGCATTAAGTTGCTATTTGACGCTGGTATTCTGTAAGAGCGTGGTCCTTCCCCGGTCGAGCCGACCCATTCTTGCTACAACTATACAATTAATATAGCTGCAGCATGGCTCTACCACGTAAAAAACTTTCATGTCTAAGCCTTTTTTATTCCGAATAAAGTAAAATAAATAAATAAATATTGTTATTTGTAGGTAGTTATAGCTTAATTTTTTTGCAGTGTAGTTAGGTTTGTTATTAGGGTACACATGGTGGCATTTATAAAATTTGTTAGATCCCCTTACACCACTGACCTCTATATTATATGGACTGGCTATACACCGTACCATAATAATGCGATTTGATTTTTGACATTTTGACGCTGATAGTAGAAGTGAGCGTCCACGGAAAGGCGTCCACGGAACTAATAATAGAGATAAGACAGTGTGATAAAATATATCGATAAAAATTCTATACCCAGGCCTACTCGTAACGTCCATTCTATTAATGTATTATATTAATATAATGCTATACAATAAATAAATGTATCAATGAATACCTAGGCCTCAGACAAGCTTACCTCATATAAAACCGAGATCGAGTATCTACATTTTTATTCATAACTACAGAACGGATTTTACTCAGAGTTTTAACATTGGGAATGTTGGTTCAGTAGCGAGGCTTAATATTCAATTAGTCCTGGAAAATATTCAGTCAACAAATATGAGTCTCTGTGAGATGACTACATATTTGTAACGGTGAAGTTCTTAAAGAAACTCTATCTGCAACGGGTTGTTGCTGCAGGTGATAAGAGGGTTGATTCTTTTCTCGTTCAAAGGCTAAGTATAGCCATTCAGTGAAGAAAATCAGCCAGCATTCTTGGTTAATAACACGGGGAGTATGACTGTATGGTAATTTAAGTTATTACTTATTGGATTTAGTTTATTTTTATTATAGTTTTTTATATTGAATAAAAAGGGTGACAAACAATTATTTAGTCCACCTGAGGGTAAGTGGATAAATATGCCTCATAGACACAGGCTTACTACTACACGTATACTTAGACACAGGATCACAATGCAGATACAGTCCAGTTGCTAAAATTATCGAGGGTGACAGAATACAGTCACCCTTGATAATTTTAGCAAACATTTTTCAATTTTTCAGGAAAGAAGAAGACGAAACACAGAATACATGGAACAGATCGAAAGAGAATTCCTGGAAGAGCAGCGGCGAAAGTTGGAGGGAGATACAAGAACACAACCCGACAAACCGCCTGATGATAGGTACACGATCTTACATAACTATTACATGCAAATCTTTTTTATTTTAATCTTTTTTATTATTTAACCTTATTTAATGGTTAAAATAATATTAAGTAAATTATATAATAAATTATATTAATTAAATTTTATAATATTTTACGATCAGAGATTAAATTTAAATGATTGTTTTAATTATTTATTGAAAACATATTTTGCGAATTGAAACAAACTTATAATTTCCTATTTTCTACAGCTTAATGGATAGTAAGCCTGAAGATATAAGCAGTCCAGTCAGAAACCATTTGAAATCACCAGATAAAAGTAAAAAGACGGCGGATTTGGAAGAAGGTGAGATCACTTCTGAGGAAGAACTTTTAAATTCCCGGCTGAAGAAGGACAAAAAACAAAAGAGGAAAGAGGAAAAGAGAGAAAGGATAACTTCGGGTAGCGATGAGCACAGTCACATTGAGTCTGCATTTGGGGTCAATGGTATTAAGGAGGTAAGTGCAGTATAAAATTATTTAGTCCTTTGTCCAAACTTGATAAACGTGTATATCATGAAAGATACTTAAGTTCAAAATGTTATGTTAAATATTTTAATATTAAAGGTTTTCTAAAGGTTCTTGCTAGAGGCTAATAATTATTAAAAGAGGCGTTTTCGGAACATAATCAGTAATAGTCGTCGGTGATTCGTATTTATCATCATCATCATCACAGTCTATCACGTTTTTCTGAAAGAAAGAAAAAAGAATATCTTCAAAATTTAAAAAAATACGCGAGTAAGCACAGTTTGAAATGCTAAGCAAGCAAGCGACTTGTGCGAAATCATGTTCGATGGACTGTAACTTCAAACTTGGTTTTATGAACAATTTGAAACTTAGACATTTCAAGAAATCCTAAAATAGGCTATAATTATAAAGTAAAAATGTTGTGTAGAAGACAAGCGGTGCATTGTCGGAGACATCATCGCCCCAGTCGCAAGCTTCGCAAGCGTCCCAAGCGTCGCAGGTGGCGCTGGATCACTCGTACTGCCGACCACCGCCCACGCCCGCTTCGCCCGCCTGCCCGCCTGCCCGCCGCCCCTCCAATCATCTGCACCACGACCACGGTGAGCCAGTCCGTAACTATCTGCACCACAACCATGGTGAGCCAGTCTGCAACCATTTGCACCACAATCACAGTGAGCCAGTCTGCAAGTATCTGCACCACGACCACAGTGAGCCAGTCCGCAACCATCTGCACCACGACCACGGTGAACCAGTCCGCAACTATCTGCGCCACAACCACGGTGAGCCAGTCTGCAACCATCTGCACCACGATCGCAGTGAGCCAGTCCGCAACTATCTGCACCACAACCACGGCGAGCCAGTCTGTAACCATCTGCACCACGATCACAGTGAGCCAGTCCGCAACTATCTGTTGCGGGTGCAGACACCACAACCACGGTGAGTCAGTCTGCAACCATCTGCACCACGATCACAGTGAGCCAGTCTGCAACCATCTGCACCACGATCACAGTGAGCCAGTCCGCAATTATCTGCACCACAACCACGGTGAGCCAGTCTGCAACCATCTGCACCAAGATCACAGTGAGCCAGTCCGCAACTATCTGCACCACAACCACGGTGAGCCAGTCTGCAACCATCTGCACCACGAACACAGTGAGCCAGTCCGCAACTATCTGCACCACAACCCCGGTGAGCCAGTCTGCAACCATCTGCAACACGATCACAGTGAGCCAGTCTGCAACCATCTGCACCACAATCACAGTGAGCCAGTCCGCAACTATCTGCACCACAACCACGGTGAGCCAGTCTGCAACCATCTGCACCACGATCACAGTGAGCCAGTCCGCAACTATCTGCACCACAACCACGGTGAGCCAGTCTGCAACCATCTGCAACACGATCACAGTGAGCCAGTCTGCAACCATCTGCACCACGATCACAGTGAGCCAGTCCGCAACTATCTGCACCACAACCACGGTGAGCCAGTCCGCAAGTATCTGCACCACGAACACAGTGAGCCAGTCCGCAACCATCTGCACCACGACCACGGTGAACCAGTCCGCAACTATCTGCGCCACAACCACGGTGAGCCAGTCCGCAACTATCTGCACCACAACCACGGTGAGCCAGTCTGCAACCATCTGCAACACAATCACAGTGAGCCAGTCTGCAACCATCTGCACCACGATCACAGTGAGCCAGTCCGCAACTATCTGCACCACAACCACAGTGAGCCAGTCTGCAACCATCTGCAACACGATCACAGTGAGCCAGTCCGCTACTATCTGCACCACAACCACGGTGAGCCAGTCTGCAACCATCTGCAACACGATCACAGTGAGCCAGTCTGCAACCATCTGCACCACGATCACAGTGAGCCAGTCCGCAACTATCTGCACCACAACCACGGTGAGCCAGTCCGCAAGTATCTGCACCACGAACACAGTGAGCCAGTCCGCAACCATCTGCACCACGACCACGGTGAACCAGTCCGCAACTATCTGCGCCACAACCACTGTGAGCCAGTCCGCAACTATCTGCACCACAACCACGGTGAGCCAGTCTGCAACCATCTGCAACACGATCACAGTGAGCCAGTTCGCAACCATCTGCACCACGATCACAGTGAGCCAGTCCGCAACTATCTGCACCACAACCACGGTGAGCCAGTCTGCAACCATCTGCACCACGATCACAGTGAGCCAGTCTGCAACCATCTGCACCACAACCACGGTGAGCCAGTCTGCAAGCATCTGCACCACGATCACAGTAAGTCAGTCCGCAACTATCTGCACCACAACCATGGTGAGCCAGTCTGCAACCATCTACCACGACACGGTGAGCCAGGCCGCAACCATCTGCACCACGAACATGGTGAATTAGTCCGCAACCTTCTGCACCACGACCATAGTGAGCCAGTCCGCAACCATCTGCACCACGAACATGGTGAGCCAGCCCGCATACATTTAAACCGCAACCACCGAGAGCCAGCCTGTAGTCGTGTGCACCTTGACTCCGGTAAGCCAAACCGAAACCATCAGCATTAGGATCATGGTGAGCCATCCTGCTGCCATGATCACCATACCACAGTGAGTCAGCCCACAACCACGTGCACCACTACTATGTCACCACTTTTTTAACACTAAGTTGAAAATGAGTTATTATCCCGAGAGTGTCGTGAGGAGCTACGGAGGGACTATGTAACAGGAGGTTGGCAGCAGCTTCTTCCTGTTAACAATCGAAAAAAGAAACTGCGTTTGCCGAACATACGAGATACTTTTTGGAGGATGAGGTCTATGTTCAGTATTAGAAAATATGTATATTTTAGCCAGTGAACACCTGCAGCCAAATTAAATCAAACAACCTGCAGGTGCAAGATGCATTTATCGTTTAAACTAAAAGTAGATTCACTGTTGCTTTTGGAGCAAATATTCGTAGGAAAGTGGTAAAAAAACATAACGTATCACTCGTACTTAGTGCTATGTGAAAAATAAGGAAATAATATTCTGAAATAAAAATAGGTTTCCTTAAAATGTTAACAAAATATAATTTAAATTATATTTAACTTCATGAGATTTTTATGTATTATTGCTGTCTCATTAGGCTATACTTGGATGGCAGAACCAGAGATAGAGTCTCCGTTAGAAGAACTCAAGCCTAAGAAGGAGAGTAAGAGGCCGTACAAGCGGAAACATGAAGCCAAGAAACTTGCAGAAATTCAAAACAAGTGAGGTTTTATTATGACCTTTTAACTTTTATTTATTTATATTGACTTAAAACTTTTAAATAGGATAAACCTTTAAAGAGTATTACTAAAACAATTTAATCGGATTTTATCGCATTTAAATTTAAGTTATTTTAATTTCCCATTTTCTCATGCATAAAATAAATAATAGCGAACACGGTTCAGTCCAGATTGATTATAATATCAATATATTAAGCATTTTGGTCCTTTATTCTGTAAGTCCTAACGGCTTGCATATCTTTGAGGCTCCTATCGATATCCTGACACCTGTAACGCTTTTGATTTTAAAATTAATATCGCAATAAAATCCGTGATGGGTATTGGCACTTCATATTTTTATGCATTTGGTGAAGTAAAGTAGACATGTAATAATGCGACATTTTACAAAGGTATTAGCGTACGGGAAATAAATAATAGGATAACATTTTGTCGACAGGAAAGAAACCTGTGAAACAAAATAAAAATATATTAATCAGTTATGTTTTGTTACTACTTATTAGTAACACAAAAAACTTTCCGTAACAAATGAGTAAATTTTTTTGGTTGTCACATTCGATAATGTATAAGTGAGGGGTGAGTAGTGTATTTATGCGATTAGTATATAAAGTGACAATTGTGTGATTGTCAGATTGTATGATTCACTGCGTACGGAATAGCTGCAGAAGTCAGAATACACTTTATTTTAGCACAGACTTCATTCTTTTCAATTTTTAATACAAATTCAGATTTTTTTGTAGTCTTTACTTGAAGGTATGAGTATAGATAGTGTTAGTGCAAGCGGGAGGTGAATAGTTTTGTATAATTGTCAGATAGTACGTATCGTTGTGTATGAGTTACGGAAGTGGGAAATTTACTATTTCTATACATTTTATCCACACACACTGACTTCTGAAGTTATTCTTTTTATTTTTAATAAAAGTCTATTTTTTTGTGGTCGTTACCGATGGGTGTGAGTATAGACAGCGACAGTGTGCGAGTGAGTAAGTTAAATAAAGCGGCAACCGTGTGTTCGTCAGATTGCACGAGCCGGTGGGCACGGAGCGCGAGCAGGAGGAGGTGAGGTTCCCCGCGCGCGACATGATGGCGGAGATGCAAGTGATGTACTCGTTCCTGACGCGCGGCGTGGACCGCGAGGACGTGCGGCTGCTGCGGCGCGCGTACGAGGCGCTGCTGGCGGCCGACGCGCGCGGCTACTGGCTGCACGACACGCACTGGGTCGACCACCCGCCCACCGACCTCGCCTACGCGCCGCCGCGCAAGAAGTCCAAGCGCCACGCCAACATCTACGAGGACCTGCAGGTACACACTCGCTCACATACAATCATGTCCTTACTACTACAAGCCTCTGCTTCATTACTATCCCACACACAGTAAGTGCTGATGAAGCCGAATTTGGTTAAGCGCACTGACAACCCTAAAACTTCAATTTTTTATAGAATTAGTGTGACAAACGAGCACATACTCCTCTTGTACTATGTAATGGTAAGTGAATGCTTTAACCCATAGGCATCTACATCTATCCTCGATTAAGAATCAAAATACTGATGCGTTGTAACCCCTGATGACTAAAATGGCATGTCTCTATTCCAGTAAATAAGGTCTTCGGTTCTCTACATTCACCATACGAAACATAGCAGCAAACATAGCACCATAATAAAAAAGCCTTAAGCAGCTATTTTACGTTGGTATTCTGTAAGAGCGTGGTCCTACATCGGTAGAGCGACCCATTCGCGCTACAACTAATATACCTACAGTGTGGCTCTACCACGTGTATCAAAAATAAATTTACTATCTTATTCCTAAATCTTTAATTTTATGAATTTTTTCTAATGGGACACCCACATAAAGAATAATTAAAATTAGTGGTAGTAATTAGTGGTTGACGCTTACGGGTAAACGTTATGGCTTTTTATTTATTAACACTTAAATCTAGCTTATTTCGTTCACAATAAGATGAAAAATTATCTTAATCCTTTTGAAAGTTAAAGTGATCATGATAATATTGAATTTTGCGATAATTTTAAGTCATCTGCTTCATAATAACATTACAAAATCTGAAACATCTATTAAATTTTTAATGTACAGGACAAAAAAGAGGCCCAAAGTATTCTTGTGGCACACCAGATACTTTTTGTGTGCTATTTGTCACATACGACTTAAACCATAACTACAAATTACCACGGATGTAATTAAATGCTAACTTTTCCAGAAGTAGTATAAGTTCTACGCGATCGAAAGTTTTACGGAAATCTGAGTATATGCAGTTAGTCTGGACGTTACTATCCAGATTCTCAAATAAGTAATTTGTATAAATTAATAAGTTAGATATAGTTGACCGTACTGCTGTATAATTACCATACTAGGATATAACGCATGTATTAACATTTCAAAGTTTTTATTGAGTGTTAAGAAGATAGATACCGGTCTATAATGCTCAACATATTTTTCTGAGCCTACCTTGCAAATTGGAACAACTCGAACTATTTTCCAAACAGCTGGGCATATTCTTTTTTTTTTTAAAGTATTTATTCAAAAGGAAATGAATTGGTTTTGCAATACTATGTGATGCAGCTTTCAGAAAATAAGGAGGAGTGTTGTCTATGCCCGCTCCTTTGTTCACATCTAAATTTAAAAGGGATTTTGTTACATCTTTTTCAAAAATAGATATGTCAGTAATAATTGAATCAAAATTGTTATTATTTGGTATATTAATGTTATCGTAATTAAAATCTTCTGTGACTGAATTGTATTCAAATACGGAAAATAAAAAACTTACCATCAGACTATGTGCTCGTTTGTCGCCCTTATTTTATAAAATACGTGTTGAAATCGTCATTAATAAGGCTCTTAAAATGTATGGTTTCGTGACGCGTTTTGGACGTGAATTTTAAGAACTTCTCACTTATTTGAATCTCTATAAATCTTTAATAAGATCACAACTTGAATATGTGGTAGCTATTTGGTGTCCGTAATATAATAAATATATAGATAAAATCGAATCCATTCAGAAAAAGTGCAGACGAGTCAAATTAACTTATTATCAACTGCTGGTCGACAACCATAGAATACTATAATACACAATAGAATGGCTGTCAACTTTACTTTGTACGAGGTTTGTCGTCGCCAAACCCGATTCACTGTGTTGACAGACTGAATAAATTTAAACATTTTAGACTTTTGATTAATGTTCAAGACCATCATTAAAAAAATCGTTTAAATTTTAATACATATTTATTTGTAAATAGGGTGCAATTTGGCATTTTTTTAAATAATTTGCATGCGAAATTTGGAAACGATTGTAACGTCAAAACACATCTCGTGTTGACATTTATACGTGTGAATTAACGTGTTGTGGCATTTTAGTGGCTACACGGGCTCCGCCCACTCCCCCGTTCTATTATGTATATATTATAGTATTCTATGTCGAATACAAATTACTAAAATTAGAATCCAGACGTCAACAAATTCAAGCTATGTTCCTGTATGATATCTGTCATAACAGGTACCATGGTATAGAACTAGTTAAGATGATACAATACAGACTACCACAATATAGGCCCTTTGTGTCGTACAGTTCTTGCCAAATATTCATTTGTTATTATAGTCTTTGCGTTGTAGCATGATGCGGATGACAGGTTCACAAGTCACTAGAACGTAACTTGCGTGCGTTTGCAAGATACGACATAACTTTTGACTATGAGAAAATAACACTTTTTTTTAATTAATTTAGTAAGTTTAATTTATTTCACTTGCGTGATCACTTACGTACTATGCTTACTAGCGGTAATTTTTATGTTTAATTACGAGAGATGCGCCTCATAATCGGACGTAAAAACTGTCAAGCGAATACAATGGCAAAAGATTAGGAGCAAATTCTATTAAAGTATATGTGATGCAATACTTACTCATAATTTTATTATAATATTCATGTGTACTACAGAACAATGGCGAAAAAATTTTTGATGAATTTATTAAGCGTCTACTTATGTCACCGTTACAGATATCAGTTAAATAATTTATTATGTTTTATCTAATCTAGCTTATGGCCTATCGAAGTCTGAAAAAAGATCATCGTACCTAATTTAAAGCTAAATTGACTATAGTTGTTACGATTCGCCATTTAAGGCAGTCAAAAGTCTTATACTATACAGCCTAGTCTAATGTGTATTTTATTAACAAAACTCTTCTCAATATTCTAATGCAATATTTTAGGATTCTGTCTACGCTAGTAATTACTCCATAAAAGCATAATTGGAAATTATATTGACTTGTAGTTTTTATTGTAACGATTTGCCAATTAAGGTATGCGAAATTGTTATACCATACAGCCTAGTCTGATGTGAGTTTTGTTCAAAATTGAATATCTTTAATACCTGACACTCTGCAGTAGTAAGACTTAAAAAAATATTATTAGGATTTCAACCTCTATAGATATATACATATTTATCATTTGTACACCTAAGAAAAAAAAATGTCAACAAAAATTTGTTTGAGAGTTCGCCGTTTATCTTTAAGTAGCTTACGATTTATGTACTACAATAAACAAATAAATTAATAGAGAAAGTGGTAAAATTAAAAAAAAAAAATAATTTAAATAATTTAATCTTTATTCTGCCATTTTGTTATTCTCGCTTGAAGTAATCTCGAAAGCGAATGACTAACGCCCGTTTGACTCGACTTAATTTTTTTTTTGTTAATTTTGGCATTTTAAATAAACAAAAACAGCAATAAATTTAATAATTGATAGTAAAAGCGATATTAATTCAAGTGAAATATACAAAACCGCTGGTCGTTAGGTACTGGCATAGATTATATGTACACATCAGTGTTGCCAGGTGCCCCGATTTAACGTCGGATTGTCTGATTTTATCTGATTATATGTGAAGTTATAAATCTGCTTTTTATTGTATGATTTATTATATAAGTTCATAAGATTTATTACTTTTTTTTGAGTAACATTAAAATGAGTCATTCAGAAAATTCAAAGTCTCCAACGCTAACTAATCGTTCAACAAGTTCTTATTCCCAAAAAAAACATACAATATAGTTTTTCCGATGGACGATAAATTATTCGTTCATTAACTCAGTCCCAAAAAACAATTATAAAACAATACACATTGTGCTATAAGTATAACTTACGGCGGTCTAAATGGCTACAAAAAAACTGTAGCGTTTTTATTTTATTAGATTTGTAAACCAAATTCTCGATTATTTTTACCTTCCGTCCCGATATTTGACTCTCTGGATCTGGCTACACTATTAGTGAAAGTACCAAATATATATATAAAAATATATATATATATATATATATATATATATATATATATATATATATATATATATATAGTGAAAGGCGTTAGAACTAGTACCTTAAAAAGCAGGTGTTGTCAACGTCGTATTGAAAATCACAGGTGCTGGCAGTCATTTTATTTGTCTTAGTGTCAAGATAAATGTTGCATTTAACATAAAATAGAAGATGATTTTTACTTTCAAACTAGCTGTTCGTCGCGATTTCGTCCGCGTGGAATGTATTACAGTTGGATTTCATGGTTTTGACTTTTTTCGCGCGGATATCAAATTGTTTTTCTAAAGTAAAGTATAGTATAGTATAGTAGCCTAACTAACTCCTTATGACATCAGTTATCTGCCAGTGAAAGTCTCGTCAAAATCGGTTCAGTCATTTCTGAGATCAGGCCGAACAAACAGACAGACCAACAAACAGACAAAGATGTTTTAAATTGTTTTTTGTTATAAGTACCGTATATCATATGCATGTAGTAAAACGATGTTATTTTGACATTTCAAAGAGACACTTCAATTCTATATATTTGCTAAAATATTTGTTTGTTTTATTTTTATATATTATCAAATTAATATATATTATAATATGTAATTATAATGTTATACTTTGTATTGAACTGTAACTAAGGTTTACATACATGTGTAATTTATTGTGTGTATATTTATAAAGAATTGTTTTTTTTTATTGATAGATAATCGATAATTTTTTCATTGTTTTATGTGTGGTTAATCGCCTTTTTTAAATCGATTTAACATTTTACCATCTCTAGAAAACTGTAAGCTGTCTCCCGCACTATGCTATAATGCTATACTACTATATAATATAGACTATAATAAATGTAGAACCAACGTAGGTAAAAGATCCCTTACGTATTTACATGTTGTAAAATTTTTATAATACCTTCAATATTAACATTTTTGCTCATAAGGTGGGTATTTATAAAAAAGATACTTTCAGTACTCGGAGGATGATGTGTTTGTGTAATTGGTTAATACAATAGTTATTATTTTTCTTTATTATTGTATTATTTAAAGACACAAATATGGTATTAAAGTAAATTAAAGTAAAGTTACAGCCTATATACGTCCCACTGCTGGGCTCAGGCCTCCCCTCATTTCTGAGAGGGTTTAGGGCAAGGAAGTGTCCGCCGCGCTGCCCAAATGCGTGTTGACGAATTTCACATGTCTTCGAAATATTTTTTTTTCTTATTCCTCAGACATGCAGGTTTCTCACGATGTTTTCCTGCACCGCCGAGCACGTGGTAAATCAGCACTTAAAATTGCAATTAACAATTTCATTGGTGCCGGCGGGGATCGAACCCGGGTTACTCGCGTTCTGATATATTTACAGCAAGCGTTAACCACTGAGCTACCACGGCTCTCAATATGGTAATATGGTATTAACTGAAAAAAATTTACGCTATTTTCAATCTTAATTTTTGTTATTGGTGGTGTTATTTTGTATAATAGTCTTTGGTGATCGACGGTGTTGGTTGCACTATTATATTATTGCGATTGGTGTAATTTGGATTAGTTGATTCTAATAAAAAGAAAGCTACAGATGCGTCGTTACCTCCGAGGACTAAGACGGTGTTCCTCACGGCCTGTAATTATACCGGTAACACCTAAACACAGCATTGCACTGCTAATTAGCGGCAGAAATAGGTAACCCCTAATCAGACTAAGTAAGAAAAGAGTCTTGCCATTCACCTAGAAGTACGTTTATTTGCCGTTTTTTTTTATTTCTGCCGCCAACCAGTAGTTCACCCACTGCTGCGTTCCTTTTGATCAAAGTAAAAAGACTTAAAATAAAATACTACAAAATACGATGCCCACGGAATGATATAGGTGATTGGATATTTTTACGTGGCAACCACACGGCATATCCCGCAGGGTCACTCGAGCGGCGCGGCGCGCACGGAGGGCTACTACAAGATGGACGCGCGGCTGAAGGCCAAGTACAAGTACCACCACGGGCGAGGCGCGGCGGGCGACGACAAGAAGCCCAGCAAGATGCAGCTGTCGCGCGAGGCGCGCTCCAACCAGCGCCGTCTGCTCACCGCCTTCGGTACGCACTACACACCACCGCACTTCCCTAGCCTGTTCACCGCGCCAACGCTTCAATTTGAATCCAGCCCGCTTACTTTTTATCGTGAATACGTCTTTAAATTTGCTGAAATGGTGGGAGGCAGTTCAAAATGATAACAAAATCGGGGGATACAATATAAGCGCTGCCATTTCGAAGTCGTTTCCTTACGTCGTTATTTACTTAAAACACGGCCGTATCCACGACGTACGTAACCACACCACACCACAACTTCTTAATTCTCAGTTGTTTCAGCTGAAATATTGTTCTACTCTGATACAGCAATCCTTTTCTTAAATATCTCGCATGAGCATTACTTTAAGTACCTGTAGGTTGGTACGGGTGAGACGTAACAAATATATGCTCAAACACGACGCATCCATTTCACTTGTTGCGCAGTATGTATATGCTGTCCAGATGAAAGCTACCGATCATTCGGATGTTGTCGTCTTGCTAAATATCGGCTAAGAGATCAGCAATACCAGTAACACAAAGTAGTGCAGTGCCCCGGTTCCCAACCCGAAATATACAAAGTTTTCTACGAATGAAATTGTGATAAAATCTAGAAATCCATTTTTAAATTCTGTTTACGGTTAAAATTAATGATGTCTTATTGTAACATCACACATGCATATAATTTAACACGCGCCTTTTTAATGTCACAGTCAACGTGGCGTGGACTACTTTCAACTTTAAATATTAAATTTGGTATAATTTACGCAGAAGCCACTTTTCAGTGTTTAGAAATCTTGCACTGGTTTGGATTTATATTTAATTTTATTAATCAAGTGGTACCACCCAGCCATCTTCTAAATTAATTTCAAGAGTCTAATGAATGACCTTGATAAAGGATAGTGTTCTCTTGCAAAGATTTGTTGTCTATTCTTATGTAATGGCTTGGACGATCCTGAATGGTTCACACACTGCGGACTTTCCGGAAGGTCGGTTTTTCATATTAGTTGTGACATGTTCTTTTACGTGAGATTTTATTTACTAGTAAACAATCATAGGACAATACTTGAATTCTGAAATATGTACTTAATTTTTAATTGTTTTAATTTAACTTTTGTATTTTCACCAGAATCGTTAACACTATTTCTTTATCAGGTACGGATACGGATTCAGATCTGCTGAAATTCAATCAATTAAAGTTCAGAAAGAAGCAACTGAAGTTCGCCAAGTCCGGTATCCATGATTGGGGTCTTTTTGCTCAGGTAAACTACATTTATGATACATGTATGTACATCGTACGCACAACTATTCGTTGTTTTTCGTAAATTATATTATTTGCCTAATTTTAATATTACAATATGCACACAATGGTCGGTGGTTCTCCACACAGCATTTGTTGTCGTTGCACGCTTTGAAAACTCGTTTAGTTTCAAAGCGTGCAACGACAAAAGCATCTTTTTAATGTGTGTTAAAATTTCGTTTTTATGCAAAGCATCTAGAAAGTATTAAGACAATATAGAGAAATGAAGAATAATTTTCCGACGTCTGTCTTTTTAGCCGATTACAATCCGGGTGTCTTTAAGACAAGAGTAAATAGGCTATTACTACGCTAAGACCACAATTTAAAGAGAGTAACAGTTGGAAAACAAATGTGCTTGTGTGGAGTAACGGCGGGGTTTTACTGGGCAGGGGGCAGGGGCGGGAGAAACTTGTGCTAGGGCACTCCATTGAGCCTGATATACAATATATGCGGTTGGAACAAACGTGTTTTATTAGCGCTTACTTTTTTTGTTATTACATTTAATTGTTATTTTTGAAAAATAAATATATACTTGATTTCTCTCTTTTTCATCAAATTGTTTATGCGAATACACTTTATAATTAAATTTAACAACGAAAAGTGAAAGCATCTATAAAAAGAAAATGTCACGAAAATATTTTGCACTGCAACACTTATGAATGTATTTTACTTGCATTAATAAAAATAATCTTGTTCCGTAGATGTTTTGAACTTATAAGCATATAAATAATGTTAATAAATAATAATGACTATTAGAATATTCAAAAATAATTTAATACCAATTTGTGACCTCCCCTAGAATATTTGCGATGACAGCGTAAATAGTAAATATCAACGCGGACGGCGGCATAGGTCGTTCGGTCATCAAAGGGGTTTACAACTGTTTTACTAACTAGGGTTTCATTATGCTTTATTACGCTTTATGTTGAAGTTATAATAAGTTTCACAATTGAACTCATTGTATCGGTGGATGCGCAGGAGCCGATCGCGGCGGACGAGATGGTGATAGAGTACGTGGGGCAGATGATCCGGCCCATCGTGGCCGACGTGCGCGAGGCGCAGTACGAAGCCACGGGCATCGGCAGCTCGTACCTGTTCCGAATCGACCTCGACACCATCATCGACGCCACCAAGTGCGGCAACCTGGCGCGCTTCATCAACCACAGTTGCAACGTACGTCGGCTAATGCTATATGATACGATGCCATGCCAATTGATAACATGTTTTGAAAGTTGTTTCTTATACAGGTCAACAGAATCTTCTATGTTATATTGCATTACATAGACCACTAACGTAACCATGCATAATAACTTATTTGTTTTAGTGCTTTTACTTCATAACAACTAGATTTTAATTATATTTTCATAGTTAAAAGTGTAACTCACCCAGCACAGAACGGCAGCTTGAATATCACAATAATTTCTATATATATTACTCGAAATTATTTACGTAAAAAGATAAATTACATTCACACAAAAACTTTTACAACAATTTTATAATAAAACACTATACTAAACACTAATAAAACATTAGAAAAAAAACCGGCCAAGAGCGTGTCGGGCCACGCTCAGTGTAGGGTTCCGTAGTTTCTCGTCCGTCACAATAAGTGTTCCCACTTATGAGTTTAAAGGTGGGTATCCATTATGTTCGCGCTCCAGCAGCGCTCCGCGCTCCTGCAACTGCTCCCGGTAGTGAGTACTGTTGTTTCCATCCAAGTTCAAAATGATTTACCTAGAAAGTCCTTATAAAGTTCTACTTTTCAGATTTTTTCATATTTTCTAAACTTATGGTTCAAAAGTTAGAGGGGGGGGGGACACATTGTTTTTTTTACTTTTGGAGCGATTATTTCCGAAATTATTGACATTATCAAAAAATGATTTTAGTAAACCCCTATTCATTTTTAAATATCTTTCCAATACTCACCGGCACGGAAACTTGGCCAAGCGGTTATCTCGCGATAGCAAAAGCTTTAAGTGTTTCTGATGAATGTTTGTTATGCAAGTATGTCAAAAAATGTTTACCCTCAAGTTCAAGAGGGTAATTCATTATGTTTAAGTGCACCATGACGAATTCTTTAATTTTTAGTTGAATCGGGTCATTTGAGCGACTAAGTTCACATTTTAAATTTGTGTGTTGTGAAAAGTTTACTGTAAGGTTATTCAATTATTGTGATCTTGTGTCTTAATTAAATAACTAAAGGTGCTTTAAAGCCAATAAAAATGCCATTAACACCAGCACAAGTTGCACAAGCAGTAGCATTAATTGACCAAGGGCTGACACAGCGTGAAGTTGCTATTGTGCTTAACGTACCACGGTCCTCAATGCAGTATTCACTGAAACGATACCAGGAGACAGGCCGCTACACCCGCAGGCCAGGCAGTGGGGGCGTAAGGTGCACATCGGCCCGGGACGATCGTTTTATTGTTATGGAGATTTTGAGAAACCGCTACCTGACCGCTGTTGAGATACGCCAGCGGCTCCAAATCGCAAGAGGCGTTAATGTTAGTGAGCGTACGGTGAGAAGACGAATGGAGGAAGTGAATTTAAAAGCTCGTAGACCAGCACGAGGTCCAGAACTTCTCAGACAGCACCGAGTAGCCCGACTTCAGTTCGCAAGAGAACATGTCAATTGGACCCACGAGCAATGGGCTAGAGTGTTGTTCACAGATGAGTGTCGAATAGCTTTACGTGCTCCAGACGGTCGAGAACGAGTGTGGAGAAAAAGAGGAGAAAGGTTTCTACCCATTACCACCACCCAAACTGTGAGTTTCCATGGAGGCTCAATAATGGTATGGGGAGGTGTAAGTTCCGACGCACGTACAGAGTTGGTCATCGTCGATAATCGGCTTACAGCTACTCGATACATCGAGGAAGTTCTTCAGGAGCACGTAATGCCTTATTCGGGATTCATTGGACACGACCAATTCCTCATGCACGATAATGCACGCCCGCACGTCGCACATTGTGTAGAGGAATATCTGGAAGAGGTTGGAATACAAAAATTACAGTGGCCAGCTCGTAGCCCGGACTTAAATCCAATTGAGCATGTATGGGGTATGCTCAAAAGAAAGATAAAGTCCAGCTCCAAACCGCCACAAACTCTAAATGAGCTCCGAAATGCAGCGCTGGCCGCTTGGGACAGCATACCGCAAGTTGATGTCAGAAACATCATTCAAAGCATGCCAGATCGAATGCAAGCGGTTATCAGGGCTAGAGGAGGAAACACCCGATATTAAAACTGATAGACAATAAAGAAACAGACTTAATTTTTAACTTTGTAGTGTTTTTAAAGTGACAATGGAAAGATGTTAATTTTAGTGAAAACATGTTATCTTGAAAAGAAAAATTTCGGTGAAGTAAACATTAAATTTCTATGTTCTAAAACCATTAGAGACACTTATTGAATGCATCTACCCTTAATTTACTGTTAAAAAAACGTTTCAGTGCAAATAATCAGCAAATTCACGAGTGGCCAAGTTTCCGTGCCGGTGAGCGTATATCACACGTTAGGGTTGAAATTAAAAAAAAAATCACTTCCCACATTACATATAGGGGGGCTACCCTAATAAAACATTTTTTCCAATTTTTATTTTACCACTTGGTCGGCGTGATTGATACACATATTGGTACCAAATTTCAGCTTTCTAGTGCTAACGGTCACAGAGATTAAGCGAGGACGGACAGACGGACAGACAGACATGGCGAAACTATAAGGGTTCCTAGTTGACCACGGAACCCTAAAAATCCAAAAATCAACACTAACACGCCACATGAAATAGGCGTACGAAATGAACGTAGATTATAAATAAAAAACCATAAACTAACTACTTTTTATTTCATTAGAGGATAGGAAATTTCAGCTTGAGCCTATAATGCCAAACTTCTTCATAGAAAAGTAGTCTGTAAATATAAGTTTTTTTTGGGTTAAAGTGGTATGGGTGAGTGCGGTCTCATGAGATCGCTAAGGCTTTGACGGAATATGGCCGCGGTCGCATGCGACCACTTGGTAAAAGAAATAAAGTTACACTATCCCCCCCTCAAGGGTTTAGGGAAGGAAGTGCTGTCACCATCCTTTTTTTCTATCCTCATTCATCCTTCACCACTAATTGCAATTAACAATTCAACCCACCTCCTTGGGGTTTGAGAGGATAAAATGAATAAGTTCTTATAACACACATTTTCATTGTCAAGCTTTCGATAGGAACATGGTTGTTTTAGTAATCTTCTCTGTATATAAAAATCAATTGCTGTGCGTTAGTCTCGCTTAACCTTGAAAATAGCTCGACTGAGTTGAATGAAAGTTTTGGTGTGCGTTTGGAAGGGTCCCTGGATGGTTTAGATTTACAATTGTCGCTGTAGGTGGCGCTGTTGTCGAGATTCAGAAATGAACCTTGCTGTGCTGCAGACGAGAGAAAATGCATTAGCTCTAGTTTTGACGCACTGCGATTGCAGCTACTGTGTACTGATATATTATAATATGTGTTTACAGCCAAACTGCTACGCGAAGATTATAACAATCGAGTCGCAGAAGAAAATTGTGATATACTCAAAGCAGCCCATCGGCGTCGACGAAGAGATCACGTACGACTACAAGTTCCCGCTCGAGGACGAGAAGATTCCTTGCCTTTGCGGCGCCCCGCAATGTAGAGGGTTCCTGAATTAAACTGCAATTCAAGACAATAGAATGCACTAGATTTGCTAATTGACCACGCCAAAACATCTATATCAAAAAGAAAAGACTAACTATATAAACAATGACAGCGCTCCAAAGTGAAACTAAAATTTGTTAGCAGCATTGCATTGTTCATGTTAACTAACTCAAAAGGTCGAATACGAGCAGTCTGTAAGAACTAGTTGAAATATAAAACTTGAACGCAATGCGACAGCAAATATTAGTAATTTGAGCTTAGGGCTGAATCTTCTGTCATGAAAGCTTTTGCTGTGAAACGTAACAGACATTGTACGGTTTATTCAATTGCTGCCGCTGCGCAAAACTCTAACATTTATATGTGGAGCAATTAAAATAAAATTGCATTTTTAACTTTTTTATATAAAATATTAAAATTCCTACCTTTGAGTTTTGTATAAAAAAATATCTTAAAATTACTTCTATAATGGAGTTTTCTTGTGCGATGCATATTACGTTGCATAGGCAGTGATAATGTTATGTGAAATCTCAAACGCGCGTAGGTCTACCGCACAGTAGGCGGCGCCGAAACTTACGTAGTTATGAATGGGGACATTTTGTTTTGTTTACTTTATACATAAGTTTTTGCCGAATTGGAAGAGTGCTAATTTGCACTATTCGATTACAACTAATTCTTCTATTTAATGCACTCCTATTTAATTTATTATATATACAAAATTAGTTATTTATAAAATGAGTTCTGATAATGCTGTTTAGGCGGCCTGATGTCTAGACAATAAATGTGCTCTTCCAGTAACGAACCGTTAAATAGTATAGTATCGGAGATATACCTCGACAAATTGCTAAAACTGCCTCAGATCGTATGCCTTTCTATGTATAAAATAATGTAGGTGTGACGGTTACGTGCGAGTCGGGATGTGTTATATCTATTGTCTTATGTGAAATCCCAGTGTATGTAATGAAATAAATATAATTATCCATAAATATGATCCTTGTATTATACAATACTTTCTCGACTGAGTTTAAGATATAATTCATTAGGCATAGGTTGTCAGAGTTAACAAGGTGTAGTATAATTGTTTGTGTTGTACATTGTTTTTGTGAATAAAAGAGATCTCTGCCTTTTGTCAGATTTATGTAGTACACTTTTTAAGTACATCCCGTTGTTGAAATCGGGTCTACGAAATCATCAGATAGGTAAAAAACGTCTCGTAGTCTCTATAAGAGATGAGGATTGAAGATTAATGGAAATTAGGTTCGACTCCGACCGCACTTCACATAATAGAATGTAAAATGTATAAGATTGTAAATAAAAGAATCCAGAAACTCTTCTTACTTATTTTACCGAATATCAATAAAAGCCAAACATGTGTCTTAATGTCTTTCAGGACCATGTATTTAGGAGTGACACAAATTTAGTATTAAGGCCGAATACGAAGAGAACTGGCGAAATTTAATGTATTTCTCTTCACTACAACTTTGACCTGAAGTAATTCTAAGCGTTAAAACCTTTTTGTAGGCTTGTTCGGTTCCTTCAAAAGGTGCCTGCCGTTTTAAAATTTTAAAATAAATGAATATACCAACAAATAAAAAATGTTAAGAAATGATATTTGAAACTGATTGTTCTTCCAAAACTCTGTGAATTTTTATTCAGGAAAAATTCTTTTACGTAAAAATGTTTACGTACGATGCACCAATTAAGAAAAAAAAATTAAAAACAGGGAAAGGGTTAATGATGGTAAAACGTATTCGATATATATTTAAACTTCATCGCCTTTCAACACGTGATCGGCGGTGAGAGTACAAGATGCCGTAATGCAAATTGTATTATTTATGCATGAATAAATAATACAATTTGCATTACGGCATCTTGTAAGACTCACAAGAACAAACATTTTCAGTTATATGAGGTTCTTTACGTACGATGCACCAATTAAGAAAAAAAAACCGTTATCAATTCAATAACTTTTCGAACAATATTTTATAACGAGTAAAGTACAGAATTTATAATCTATAGGAACTAATATTAGAAATAAGAAAGATTTAATTAAGAAGTAAGCAATGCTCTCTGTGTTCACTACTCTGTATACTGAGCTAGCTCAGTCAAATATAATATAATCAAAGCCCTTACGGCTTTGATTATATTGTACATGTCTATATAAACAAAGCGTACGGGTAACACACGTGATGTTCGATAGATGGCGCGTGGTTTGCTGCGAAACGAGCAAGGTCAATCGCGTCGTATTCGGCCTTAAACTTGTGATTTGCTTTAACAGCTTCCCTGTCCGCGAAACGGACTTAATAGTTAAATAATTGATAGTTCATATATATTTCATGGGACAGGGAAAGGGTTAATGATGGTAAAACTTATTCGATATATATTTAAACTTCATCGCCTTTCAACACGTGATCGGCGGTGAAGGAAAACTAAAATACATTCAAGGTATGTGATATCCATCAATACGCATTGGGCAACGCAGCGGTGTGAACTCTACTGCTCTAAAAGCCTTTCAGATAATATGCCATTGCCTAACAGTTGGGCCATGGAGTATAAAGGTAAGGATAACCATGTCACATAGAAGAATAGTTGAAAAAGTGTCCATCTGTAAGCAATAAATAACAATTCAAAAACTCTCCACAACAGCGCTGGAATAGCTACAGAAAACAGCTACATGAAATGAACTTAGCAGTTGTCGACGGTGTGAAGTGTACTGCTAACTGCTCAGTAGCTCTAAAATCTAAACTAATTTTATTTAGTAAATATAGCCTCGAAAAAGTCGTCTATCCAACTAATATTTTTCGGCACGTTCTTTAAAATTTAGACTGTATCTATAGGGGCGCCACCACTGACCTCTATATATACAAGTACGCTGGACTGGCTATACACCGTGAAATGATAAGGCAATTTGATTTGCGCCATTTTGGCGCTGACAGCAGAAGTGCACGTCCACGAAACTAATAATAGGGATAAGACAGTGTGACAAAATATATCGATAAATATTCTTATACCCTACGTATACCTAAATAAATAGAATGGACTCTATGGATAGATGAACTCTACTCGTAACGTCAATTCTATTTATGTATCATATTAATATAATGCCACTATCATTCATCATCATTAAAGCCCTTTACAAGTCCACTGCTGAACATAGACCCTCCCCCAAGGAGGCATACAAAGCACGGTCGAGCCAACTGTATCCATCAACTTCCTGTATGTCTTACCAGGTTTTCACTCCATCTAGTGGGGGAATTTACGACACTTCACATGCCAGTACGAGGCTGCTACTCGAGAACCTTTTTCCCCGTCGGTTATCGGTTCTACGAGCTATATGACTGGTCAATTGCCACTTCAGCTTACTAATCCGTAGGTCTATGTCGGTCACTCTGGTTCTACTGCCGATATCCTCATTCCTAAGTTTATCCTCCTAAACTTTCCAGCTTCGGCAGTGCCGCGTATTCTAGGGGGCTTGTCATATCGCAACCCGTGGGTTCTTGATCGAACACTTAATTGCCTTTATCGGTGAATGTTGTGCAAGAGGAAGCTGTCAAAAACCGTGAATGTAAACGATGGCCAGAATTTGTAAATAAGAAATAAACTAAAGTAGGGCCACTACGAAGTTAAAGCACAAATTAAATCTTGAGACTCGAGAGAGAATTATATCTCTAGACTCGCACTTACTAAAACCCCATGGTGTTCTACCTGCGCCGCAAATTGACAGAGCCACGGAAACGCTTTCATGCACACCCGCTGCCCCTCCGGTACCAGTCACCCAATGGCAGCCCCTCCTTAGTTGCTGACTTCTCCCCCCGTTTTTCTACTCAGATAAGGCGCACCAGAAACACAAGGAAACTGCCCTTTGCGGCCTCTGACTCCACCTGCACTACGGACCCCCCAAGCCCGATATGTGAATGGAGCCAGGAAAAACCAAGCACTTGGAAGCATCAAGTGGTGCAGCCTCACCAAAGTCGCGAAGGATAGTCGAGTGGCATCGCATCGTCAATCGCCATACCAACACTCCTCTTCCCTGACGACTCCACCTGGACTACAGCGGTACAGGGAGAGAAATCTCCTCTAGCCGCAGCCCACTAACACACATCCAACGTGGCTCGACATCATCAGGCGACCTTTCGACACTTGGCTATGGCCCTGGAGTTTGGGGGAAAATGAGGAAAGAAGAAAGTGTGATAGTGGGATTGTATCTAAAACCGTACGCGAATTACTAGTCCACTTCACAAGATCGAATTGACCCGATTTCATGAGCCTTATAACCTCGGCGGTGGTTAGGGTGGCCTCCTCCACGCTATCGACCGAATACACAAAATCATCCATATATAATCCGCTCTCAATTGCCCTCTTAGCTTTAGGATAAGAGGGACCTTCATCGTGAGCGAGCTGTCTCACCGTGCGTAACGCATGAAATGGGCTCGACTTTAAACCAAAACAAACGCGGTTAAATTCAAACATACTTAGAGGTTCCTTTGGGTTGAAACGATATAAAATGCGTTGGAATCTACGGTCGCATTCACGGACCCCTATGCAAAGAAACATTTGGCGAATATCGGCGGATAGTGCTATACTAAACAAACGAAAATTGACTATTATATTAAATAAACTGCCCTGTAAATTTTGCCCACTATAGAGGATATCGTTAAGCGACAGGTGAGTGCTAGTTTTAGCACTAGCGTCGAGCACTACACGTAATTTAGATGTAAGTTTGTCCTCTCTAATGACTCCGTGGTGTGGTATAAAATACGACGGTGTGTCTTCGTAGCTATCTAATTTCGAAGCCACAAGCGATATGTAACCTTCTCTTATATATTCGTTAATGACGCCGTCGTAAGCTTCCCTTAACTGGGGCGAAGCGAGCATCCTACGCTCCAAGCTGTAGAAACGCTTTTCTACCATTTGACGCGAATCGCCGAGAGATAAAACATCTCCCTTAAAGGGTAGCGCTACACTATATCTACCGTCGCGATCACGAACGGTCGTGCGGACGTAAATTTCCTCGCAT